TTCTTCTTAAACAACATTCATGCATTGGAGCTAGATTAAAATCTTAGAACAAAGTTTCATATTCCAAAGGTCGATGTTTTCTTGGGCACCGTAAATTTGTTGAATATTTTTATTTCTATAATTCTTTCCGATTATTTTTTACTAATTTTAAACCGTGCATGTGTTCTGTTTCAGCCCTGTTGACAAACACTATGGCAACAGAAAACTTTTGCAATATTCTTACTTCTCTCTTCATCTCAATTATTGGTGCAAATTTATTGCAACGTTCTGTGGACATTCTATGAAAAGTATGCATGCTACTACCGTACGACGCCAACCTAATAAATTATAAATCGTACAACAATCACAGAGCTTTGCATTCAAGGGAAGAATTTATTATGATACTTGGTGACTTGGTGCCATAAAATGCCCCGGTACAAATGATGTGTACATGTGGATGAGACCCATTGTGGGCCAATTTGATGTCGACGTTTTGAAAGTACTTGTTAAATTACGGAATACGAGCCAGTTGATATGGAGAATTATGGAGAATTACAGATGGATACATGTGACCAAAATACTGCGCAATGATTGGAAGTTAGAGTTATAAATTCTTCATTTTTTAATTATTCTATTTAAAATTAAGTAATTGTAGAGGGTCCAAATACGTGGAACGAATAAATTTAAATAATTTATGATAATGAGTTAACCAGTGAAATTTCTTCTTAAAAACCAAAAAAATGATGTGCATAAATGAGTAAGAGGAAAATTATTCTTAATATTCTTAAACTACGAAATATGTATGCTGAGGGAAAAGTTCAACGACATCACCATCGAAAATTAGGAAGAATGGGAGGCTAACTCTTTTCAGGTGTCGCCATGATTTGGTCGTGTGAAAAACAGATTGAACTCCAATATATAGAGAGTAGATGGTAGAGAAGTTACTTTCTCTATTCTCTTTGTGATGAGGTTTTTAGGGTATTTTTTTGTAATTGGAATTTTTCGAGTTCGGGAATCGTTTTTTTTTTATTTGTGGGTCTGGCACAATTAATAGGGACCTTAAGATTCTACGACGAGGTGATTCGCGACGCCACCGGAAGTAAATTTGCACAAACTGAGCATGCGTGTGCGTTTTTGCTCAGGGAAGTTTATCTACGACGACGCCGTTTTGGAGTTTTCTCGTCGTCGTAGATTGTCTAAAAAAGTAAAGGAAAAATGGCAAAAAGTACTGTGCCGTTAGAAGGAAAGGAAGGTTTCAAGTCCGAGTAAGTGCTGCCAGTTTTTTAGTTTATTAATATTACAAAATTTATAAATATGTAACGCGTGTGGTTGTTTTTTAATTGTCTGTAATTTATTACTGTAAAGTACACTCCTTTGCTTTTCAAACTCGATTTTAAATTTTTACTCAATGCATATTTCAATTTTCTCTCTAAATACCACACATCGCATTTTTTCTTTTATTCATTTAACATTGCAGAGTTTGTTTTATAATGAAATGGACTACTCAGCATGATGTGGAATTTTGCAAAGAGGTTGTTGCTTCCAAGCTCTTTGAAACCAAAAAAAGGTCAGCAGAAAGAGCGCTGGTTTGAGAGTCTATTGCTAAAAATTTGGAAAAAATAGAATATCCTAAATTCAAGGTAGAGCAACGCTCTGTTAGAGACAGATTGAAAAAACTAATGAAACAGTTTCGAAAAAAGGAAAATGAGGAAAGACGAGCTAGTGGTATTTCACCTGAATTAACAGAATTGGACACATTGCTGGAAGAGATTTGTGAAAGAGAGCATGCATCTGAAACCCTGGCTAAAGAAATGGGAGAAAAGGAAAAAAGACGATTAGAAGAAGATCAAATGGCTGCACAAGAAATACGAAAAAGAGCCATGGAAACTTTATCTGAGACCCAGGTGAGGAATGCTGCTGGAAAAGATCAACATGCTCCCAAATGCAAAATCAGAAAGGGTGCTGATACAGCCTTGGCATTTTTGGCAGAAAAAGAAAGGGAACTGAAAGAAGAGAGCAACAAATTAGAAAGGGAGCGTCTGGAAATGGAAAAAGAAAAAACAGAAAAATTCATGCAGCAACAGAATGACATGTTGAATTCTATTTTGGAAATGCAACGACAGCAAAATAATCAGGTACCAGCAAGCCAAATGGTTTTAATGCAGCAACAGCAACAACAGGGGCAGGCATTAATAGCTCTTTTGTCAAAGTTTATTGATAAAGAGAATTAGACCTGCTAACAAAGACATGTTGTTGTGATAAATTAGTCAGTTTTGTGAAAAAACTAATGTTGAGTTTTGTAAAAAATATTATACAAGCACAATTTATCTTACAATTTGATCTTAATGACAATTACATTAATTACATTGAAATGTTATTTTACCAATACATAATAATTATATTTAAACAATTTACAAATATATGTTATATTACATTTAAATGATATTTTACATGCATTACTCAAAAATGTTATATTCAAATGTTAAATATTTACAGTATCATAATATTTTATGTCAAAATCTCAAACCAATATCATGTTCTTTGATTGAGTTTTGAATAGTATGTTAATAAAATAATCCTGTAGTTTTACCACTATGTATTTCAATGATTTCCATTGTTTTGTTGAAATAATTCTCTGAATATATATACAGTGTCATGCATCATTAAGAAAAGTACTCCTCAACAGTAGGTGGCTCAAGTTCAAACCATTTACCTGTGCATACTGCTCTAAGTCTTGCAAAAGTCCAGAATCCATAAGCATAGCAGCATCATGCCTTCTCCCCTCTACAGATTTGATGATAGATGTTTAAAAAAAGCATTTAAGTCTATAATCTCAAACTGTGTTGTAAACTATATTGCAGACTTTTGGCTGTTACACATGGTATTGAGAAAAAAATGTGGAGATATGCCATCATATCACCAGCTAACAAAACGTTTGAAATTTGTTAGTCAAAATGTTTACATACCTACAGGTCCAAACAAGTTTGCAATGAGACCATTTGGTAGGGCAAGCGACTGGTATTTTAAAGCATGGACCCTCTTATGCCCATTGTAAACTAATGCCTGCATCTCCCCAGGACGACAGATTGCTTTTACCGTGCCATTAACAAAGTCGAAGCAGTTGTCTAATGCCGCTCCCTTTTGGTGCACTGCATCAGCATATTGTTGAAGACAATGAGGGTTCAGTAATTGATGATTCCACCTCGTTATCTTCTCCCCGTGCCTTCTATAAACGAAGTCGACCACTTCATTGGATATCATGCTAAGCTCCGGGACTGGTCGCCCAAAGAGTGGTATTAAGTCGCTATATCTGCAAGGGTAGCAAAACCGTCGAAGAAGAATACACAGTCCTTCAATTCCTCCACAAATTGTTCCTTGAGCGCAAGTGAATTTCTTGGGCATGTCCATAGCACGAGCCAGAACTGGAATTTCGTTTTTTTCAAACCTGAAATTCACCTTGCATTCAACCGCATCTGTCTCTTCCAGAGAGAAACTATCATAGTCTTTAAAAGGCAGTTCCGAATTTTTCCCACGGCAAACGATATCGTGTAAACGACAAACTCGAAGTTATCAATGTAAGAAGATTCATAGGCCAAAATAACATCATTTCTAGCTTTCTTGAACGACCACATTTCAAGTTCGCGTTATCGGGAAGTACAGTAAATCTTAAGGATATTTAAACGCGACGCCACCGCGTACAGAATGTTGCTCTCCCCAGTGCCTTCGTGTTCCGGACGGGCGTCTCGAATCACCGCGTCGTAGAATCTTAAGGTCCCTAAAGGCGATTCTCCATTACGTCCGCGGTCCGCTTTGCCCGCGCGGGCGAAGCGCGCTTTGTTTTTCAGACCTGTCACGGTTATATGGACAGAATTTCAAAAGCTGCTTCGCCCGCGCGGGTGAAGCGAACGGTAATGGAGAATCGCCTTAATACAACATATGCGACGAGTCAGGCTGTAAGGGATGTTGGTTTTGGTGTGTTTGGGATGACATATTATATATATATATATATATATATATATATATATATATAATATATATAATATATATATATAATATATATATATAAATATATATATAATAATATATATATATATATATATATAAATATATATATATATATATATATATATATATATATATAATAACCATGTTACTATTAATTAAGGTTATGATTAGGCTAACACTTAGTTGTTTCATGGTATAATTTGTTACAAATTATTTAATACTTAGGATTTTGAATTTATAATTCAAACTGTGATCGCAGCCTTGTAGCCAGGGTGTGACAGTTACGGCGAATAGGATACAACAGCTTCCTATTTTGAACAAACTGAAAGAAGAAGTGTCTGCAAGAAGGGCGTTTTGAATCTTGTTAATTACATTATATTCTGGGCAGCAGCGGGCATATTGTGACAAATTTAAAAACGAGGTTGCCCGCTTATCTATACGTCACCACTGACATACCAAATGCGGTATTTTAAAGAATTTTCTATCCCACAAACGAACTAAGAAGTATTGTTGGGATTACATTTCGGAATAAAAATAAAAAAGGAATTTAAATGAAAACGAAAAAGTTGTGAATATTTGAAATATTTAATTGCTGCAAAACATTTTTTATCTAATTACCTTACTCATTTACCTTACTTATTTACTTTACTTATTTATCTTACTTATTTACATTACTTATTTACATTACTTATTAACCTTAATTATTTACCTTACTTATTTACCTTACTTATTTATCTTACTTATTTACCTTACTTATTTATCTTACTTATTTATCTTACTTATTTATCTTACTTATTTATCTTACTTATTTACCTTACTTATTGACCTCACTTTTTTACCTTACTCATTTAGTAACTTACTTATTTACTTTCTTATTTACATTATTTATTTACCTTATATATTTACCTTACTTATTGACCTTACTTATCTACTCTACTTATTGACCTTACTTATTTACCTTACTTGTTTACCTCACTTATTTAGTAACTTACTTATTTACCTTACTTATTTACCTCACTTATTTACCTATATATGATCCTGAAGAATGCGGTATGCATTGTTCTATGAAATGAAAAAACTCGATTGTTAACAGGTATCGTAATAGGGATCACGTTTTATTCTTCTCAATTGTACCCTTAAGCAAACATTGCCTAAACAGCTGCAGACATGTATATTGAAAAAATGTCGTTTAAATATTATCATGAAAAACACAAGAGAACAGACAAGCACATTACCGTACAAAGGGGTTTCCTTTTTCCAATATTTATGTAGCAGAACATCCATAAAATTCAACTCTCATCGAGATATGTTTATTCCAAGCCGTTGGATGAATGCGAATAAACCGAGCAGAAATACGAGGAATCACTGTGTTATGGACGATAGAATTCCTGTCCGTATTGCCTTTAAATACCTGAAGACATTAAAAAATACTTGAGGCTGCTGTAATATCTATCTTTACATCAAATTATAATTATTATCAAAATGGAAAATGGAATAATTGAGCATTTGCCCAATCTCATTCCCCGAAACTGCGATTCCCTCTTGCGAAGAACGAAGGCTCTTGGATACTCAAAATCAAAATGATTCTGATTGGTCGTTCATGCCGCTGGAATGTTGTAGGATTTCTGGCGGAATGTTTCGATTGTCCTAGAGCTTTGGCCGTGGGAAGAGATTGGGCATTTGCAACTGCTTGCATTTGCTGCGGCCAGAAGTTGCACGCTCACGCCATCACGTGCCAAAATTACCCATCCAGCTGGTATTAAACGTTAGTTCTTGGGCGGAGGGGTTAACCTAGCAAAGTCATGGCATTTCTCGGATTTCATCAATCTTGGAATAGAAAAAACTCCTGATGTTTTTATAACATGAGTAGACTGTGCAGTCGCATCTAATTGACGGAAATAAATTATTACTGACAGGATTTTCTCATATAATTTTAAAAGTACAAACCCAAACATCCATGTTCACATAACATTGATTATCAAAATTATAGACCCGTATACAGTACAGCCAATTTATGGGCACGACCGAGTGACCCAGCTAAGATTGGTGCCCGTGCCCAGTTTAAGAGTTTAAGGTACCTATACAAAAACCGAGCGCTGATGAAATTTGCATGGGTAATTATTTTAGCAGTGCCGTGCCAATAAATAGAGTGTAAACACGGCTTAAACAGCTTCAAAGCCCGTTTACGCTGCACTCAATTACTTGGCATAGCACGTCTAAAATGGGTGTCCGTATTAACTTTATCTGTGCTCGGCCTTTGTACTAGTGCCTGAACACTAATAAAATTGGGTACGGGTACTAAATTTATGTTTGCCGTGCCAATAAATTGAGTGTAGTTTAAATGGAGCTTTAGGTCTTATATAGAGCTTGTATTAAAGGTTTTCGCCTAGGTTATTTTCATGCAATGATGAAAATTAATAGAGAATTATAGGTAGCTGGTATCCAACAGATTGCACTTCATCACTACATTGTTTTTTATTGAATTATTCATGCAACTGGAAATGTAACATGGCTGCTTATAATTTCTTTCTTCTGTTGAAGAACGCATTGTTTCTTGTTCGCCGCAACTCTTTGCAAAAATTCCTCGTTATTTTAATGTCAATGAGTCAACATAAATTATTTGCAAAAGAGAAATATTGGAAAATACCTTGACTGCTCCTTTTCGTATGTAATCCTCAAAATTATACCCATTTTGGCTGAAAGAAACTTTGTAATTCTTAACAAACTGATTGTGATTGATGCGTCCTTGGGTACTGATTCCTGTGACCAAAGTAGATCTTTGGAAATCAACCTGAAGCCACTGATTCAGATCGTTGTTTTTTGATGACCATGCCTCCCCTTCTTTTCCATTTCCTGGTGTAAAATTCAATCTTCCAAAAACCGCCCAAAGACTTTTACTTTTATGTTCACTCGAGGCCGTGATTTGACTATCATTAATATTACCATTTTCCATCCCGAGAGCCATATTGCACGCTGTGTCAATCAAGAAATCGTTGCAATCCTTAGTGAATTTAAATTTTTGACCTCGCACTCATACCTTTATACTTTTATACTTTTTGATATTCTTTGATATGCTATTTAAACTTCCTAACGGGGGGTCGTAGCAGCGACTACGAGTACGACTACGAACATAGAGATCATTAATAACACTAGAGGAGGCATATTGGTATCGAAAACATCAGTCAAAAAAGACAGCGCGTATTGGCTTGATCAATGCCTCACCTTAGCAACCATATAGCGGTTGTTTTTTAGGTCGCTTTGCAAATTGTTGAGGAAAAACAGTTATTTTTGAACTGGTTTTATACTACCTTAGACATCCTGAGATGGTATTTTAGGGAAAAAAACTTAGAAATGGAAAAAAATCTCGTTTAAAACGACATATTTTGGCCTCCGACATTGTGAATGAGTGAACATCCGTTATTTGCAAGGATTTGCCCCTGCGATTAATGCGCTCTCCAATTTCTCCTCGATACTCCCTCTAGTGTTATTTATAATCTCTATGACTACGAGTACGAGATTTGTCATTCTCGCGCGTTGTTTGCATACGCCATCAGCCAAAACTCGTTGTCGCCGGGCTTTCGAGTACGAGTTTTTTGGAACGACTACGTCCAACGACTACGAGTTTTAGCTGATGGCGTCAGCAAAGCACGCTCGAGAATGACGAATTTCGTACTCATAGACGTACTCGTGGTGGCTGCTAAAGCTCCCTAATATTGCAGTCCAAACTGCAAGTTTCTTAACGAGTCCAACTCGTCGGGTGGACTTTCGTTTCTCTACTAAGATCCAATAGGCTCGTGCGGCTCAGTTAGTAAAATTTACGCCATAAAATCTTATATTTTGCTCCCAACAAATACAAGCACTGCAAACTGAGCCGGTCGCGGATGTGAGACATGCATCACGTTCGTGCACCACTGCGGATGAGTTTCAACATCACTCAGTAAATCTCATTTTCGCTGGCCGGTGGATACTTACACATAATTCCAAGACATAGTTATAACATTTCTGTCTTTTTCTCGAAAAATATCTCGTATTCTCTCGAAACACATTTCGCCTTCATCCCTACCCTAGACCTCCAATAAAACAGTGCGATAAACGTTCTCGCCTATACACACGATTTCACAACTGAATGTAGTTAAATACAATCTATGATATATTTAGCTCATATATACGAGAGGAAAATGTGATCCCAAGAAAACTTGTCCACATCATCTGACGTACTTAAAATTCATTGACTATTAATTCTGGTAAAAAAATCTGATTTTTTTCTCCCAATTTTCACCTAAGTTATCTTTATGATATATTTCACCAGTATACTTACCTTTTGGATCTAGGCAACTTAAATTGTATTTCTGAAATTAAAAACAAATTAAGAATAAATACAAGCTAATTTTTACAAGGAAATTTTATAAAATATTTTCGATATTAAATTAGTTGTTACTGTGCCGAAAGCGGCGCTTTTTATATGGTGTTTTTAGCTCCAGACCCTTAATAGCCGCCTTAAATTCGGCTTCAAAGATGGGTGAAGGCTATTTCAGATATGTCAGAGCACCTCATTACCAGTCCTCTAAGTCGTACGTGGCCACAATATCCAATTTGGCGACCAGACATGAGGAGTGTATATTTTAAAAATCCTTAAAAATGCTTAAAGTTTATATGCAAATTTAGTATATATGAGTAGACTTTGTAGTTTAATTTTTTCCAACAATAAAATTCATTTCAGAATAATTAATACAAGTACATTATTGTATATTTAATAGTATTTATAAGGATGAACTTACTGTTCCTGCTGTCACTTGCCAGCCTAAATATATATATATATATAATATTATATATAAATATATAATATATATAATATATAATATATATAAATATAATATTTAAAATATATATATATATATATATTATATATATATATAATATATATATAAATATATAATAATATATATATATATATATATGTATATATCTGCCAGAAATTACTCATCGTTACCGGAAGCAATTAAAGGGGGGGGGGGGGATTGTGGTAGCATAACAGATAAAACACTTTAGTTAGGTTGACTAAGTCTGTCCTTATTCAACAAGTACGATCGTACTATAGTGGACCAGGAACTGCGTGACCGAGTTTCTGAACTGCATAAGTCTGCATTGTCTTTACAACAATAGAGAGGACAATGTATTTCTAATCGTTTGCGTATTCTTATAATTATATAGGCTGAATATTAATGATATATAGGCTGAATATTAATGATATGTATATATTATTTGCTGCACATATAGTCAAGAATTGCTTGTAACTTGCTTCAACGATCAAAAGTAAAAATTCGAACCCCGTCAATCGATGCGGAATATTCCTTAGAATAATTGTGCCAAGTTTCATTCCGATAAAACAAGTAATGCTAGAGCCTTAGGGTTTTTTTAAAGAGCGTTGCCCCCTATGTAACAACAACAACAACAACAAAAAGATTAGCAGCGGTTAGGGACCAGTTCCTGGTCCAATTATTAAAAATTATATGAACAAACAGCAACAAACTAGACAATCTTAACTTGGAAAAATTAGACTGTTATAAGTTTTAACAAATGTATATATGTTGCTCATTGAATAGATAAATATAAGTGCTTTCCTGCAGTTATTTGAGCCAGAAACTTCGGAAAGATGTTTTTAGCTCGAAATTAATCACTTTCCGAGTAACTAACCCAAGTGAATTCATGGGTGCCGAGGGAGCTCGCCCTATTTATGCTCATGGCCATAGAATGTATGAATCTTACCAGTTTAACTTTGTCAAGTTAAGATTGTCTAGTTTGTTGCTGTTTGTTAAAATAATCATTAATAATTGAGGAGAGACTTAGTAAACTAAACTCTATTACCTGTTATGCAACCCCCTCCCCCGCCTGCCATTGAATGCTTCCGGTGCCTCTGAGTAATTTCTGGCAGATATACACATAGCGACTATATAGGCTGGCAAGTGACAGCAGGAGGAGTAAGTATACAATAATGTACTTGTATTAATTATTCTGAGATGAATTTTTTGTGGGAAAAATTTTGTGGGAAAAAATTAAACTACAAAGTCTACTCATGCATGTATACTAAATTTGCATATGAACTTAATATATTTTTAAGGATTTTTAAAACATACACTCCTCATGTCTGGTCGCCATATTGCAAAATACTACCATGGTAACCAGGTGCTCTGACATATCTGAAATAGCCTTCACCTGAAAGGTTTCGCTCGAGTGATTTTTTCAGTCAACAATACCTAATGTTTAAGAATATTTTACCTTTTTTGGGTTATGAAAAAATATATAATCGTAAGATGAATTTGGTTCCAATAAATAGTTTGATGCATCGGTGATGACATTATGCAACATTTCGCATTTATAATTTCCTGAATTTTCTGAGATGAATTCCTTCTTAAAGTTGATTGATCTGCAACACGGTTCTTTGAGGCACTCCCCAGCACAGTCAATTTACCCAATCATAGACGAATGCGGTTGAGTGAATTGCTGTATTTAGCCTGAAACCTGAAGTTAATTTGTTGAAAAATATATTCGAGGACTTTAATACTTAGCTATTCTTTGTTTCTAAGATAAATTCTTCGTTATCAAAAAATGTTGGAAACGATAACGTAACTCCCGCTGGCTGATACGAGGCGGAGCCGAAGAATGGGGCAAAGGTAGTATCGAGATGAAACGGTAATAAGGATTATAGAGTTGTCCCGATTAGCCTCACAAACAGTCACGATGATGTTGTTTGATCAGTTCAGCGTGTTTATTAGCCAGAAAGCTAAATCGCCTTTATCATACTATTATAACTGGCCAGAATAATGACTGGCAATGAGGTGAATAATAATTATGCTATGCCGGTTTGATGACAAATAAAATCAATAGGTTCTTCCTTAAAGGTGTTTGCTTTATAATAATAAAATGTTGGCCATGCATTGGTCACTCTTACCTTCAAAACTTGAATCATAACAAAAGTTTACACTGGCAATCGCGTTCTCAAAAGCAATTACGAGTGTTATTAGAGCAGTTAAGAATCTTATTGTACGACGAATGAGCCTCATTGCTGTTTTAGTTCATTTCCTTTAAAAAAAAATATTATCAATAAGAAAAATATCAGACTGAAGATAATGTAGAAATTGTGATGTAATCAATATTTATGACGACATTATATTATTTGGCCTAAAGATATCTAAGTAACTTATCTATACCGATTTTATTAACGCAGTTAGATAATGTAGTTAGGTTATGTGGTTAGACAATGTACTTAGATAATGTACTTAGATAATGTAGTTATAGATGATGTAGTCAGATAATGTAGTTGGATAATGTAGTTATCGTAGGCAGCCGATGATTTCGAACAGCTATAGCTATGCTGATATTTTTTAGTTTGATGTAACTAAACACAATCAATTTATAAAGTAATTTAACTAAGTTGCATAAGGTAAATTTCAGGTTCGCCGCACCACTTGTTTCGGTGCTTTTAAAATTTCTTGTGATAGCTCTCGACTAAAATTATTTTCCGCCATATGTTTCTACGAGCTTTGAAGTTCTTTTCGTATTGTTTCTTGTTTTGACGCTCTGCGCACACGATAAAACAGAAAATACACTAATATGCATGCATGTTTATAAATATTTAACGATGAATTTTAGATTCATTAGAACAGCCGTTTGCTGCAAACGTATTCAGTCCTAAAACAAATTAATTTCGTAAAGATCAGCACAGCTACTATTACAACTGGTCGTGCCCAGTGGCTATAATTATCTTATGCGTTGTCATTCAACATAAAATTATAAGCCTTCCGTTATCTTGAAGTGTGGCGAAATTTACATGTTATTGATTAATAATGGATGACTTGCGCTTTATACAAACTAATTTCTTATCTCAGCGCCAAAAAGGAAATTTTCTGAAAGAGCAGCTTACTAAAATTAGTAGAACTGCCAAGTTTGGCTGCGAATTGTTGTAAATTTCGGAAAATATAGCAATGCGAAGTTGACGATTTTTGTATACTTTTGTATTACGACAGGAGTTTGCAACTAATTATATAATTTAGTTACACATACCACACGTAATACAAAAGTATACAAAATATACCAACTTTGCATGGCTATATACTTCAGTCCGTGTTTTAATAAATTTCACAGCTTTGCATTTGCACTAACTCAAGTTCACTCTTTCTATTACTACTTCGTCTCTTTACTTCGATCAAAAATTAATCTAAAGCGCAACTCGTCCATTCTTCAAACAAAATATTTTAGCAATTCAACGGTTCTGCTCAAAACGAAAATACAGGGTGAGATTCAAGCTATGCATATATCAATAAATACCCCCCCCCCCTCCAAACTATCGTTCAAGCTTCTGCCCTGGACGAGAAAGGTTTGTCGTATTTGAAGAAATATAGCTGTTAAACAACAAATCTTTTTCACATGATCGAATGGATATCGCATAATTTTAACGCCGATACATGTAAATTTCTGGAGAAGGGATGATTTCAGAATCAGTTATCCTTCTACTAGGA